GGGCATCTCTGTCTGATTCAAGAATATATATATATATATCTCTTTTCTTCTAATTTCGCCAGTAGAAGCATCATATCAATGGGTTTAATAATGTGGTTATGTTGCATAAAGTACTTTTAATGAGGAATGTCTGTATCTGCATCAGGGCCCAAAGAAGTTCAGTTACTCCCCTAAAAGATTACAAGGGGATAGCCATCATTACTTAACAGGGTCCCCCAACTTGTTGGGTAAGATCCTTAGTAAATTTGCCCATTGTAGTCCTATCCATGTATATAAATTATTTGAGTAAAAGTATTAGGGATATATAAGAGATATATGATGTGGCCAAGTCCCGTGGGATCGTTCTACCCCCGGCAAAAAAAGACAAATGTTACAGCTAGCCACCAGTCCTAAAGGGTTTTACAAAAATATATCTCTGGACAAGACTGTAACATTCAACAAGTGCTAGGATAGAATTTCATTGAGAAATAATATCCTGAAACAAACACGTAGTTAAAAATTAAAATTTGTCATCATCATCATCATTGGTGGTTGTGATTTTGGAGATTTATAGCCTCCTCTCTGAGTGTCTGCATCCCATCAGACGCCGAGCTGCTTGTTCATCTTGCTCAGGGCATCGCTGACAATGTCCAGGTCATGGCGTAAGTCACTCACCACATTGGTGATGCTTATGGTGTCTTTTAGTATCTGCACACTTTGGGTGTACGGGTTGTATTTCAATCCAAAAGGGCGCTTGATTGTCTTTGCGAACTCCCTAGAGGAAACAAAAATATAATAAATGTAAAATTATACTAAACATATTACATGAATCAAAAATAGTTACATGTTTTAAAATGTGATTAACACATTGTGTGTGGTTGACAACAGTTAATTGGGCCTCATGCTGCACCCATTATAGTCCCTTAAATATTTTATTTATGTTCTTCTCATATGTGGTAATACATTTGCACAAGAAAAACATTGCAATTCCCCTTATCAAGTGCCCATAAACCTCATGAGTCCATTCTAGAACTGTTTGCTGCAAAAGCTTGCCGTCCCCTAACCACAACCAGACCCAAAAACGTTTTTACCAAAATTTCCACTGTTCAACAAGACTGTCTCAATGACCTGTAACAGAATTCTAAGTGCACAGGGGTGCATTGAAGCTGGCCATGACGTCAGAGAAAGCAGGCAGGACTTCTAACACTTAAAGAAGTTAGATTAAGGTTTCCTGTTGGGGTATATTTGAGTTTAGGGTAAGCTAACAGGTTAGCACTAGCGGATTCATTTAGGGGTTAGTGTTAGGGTGCAGCTCATGTTAAGGATTATGTTTTGGGATTAAATGGAATTAGATAAAAAGTTGAATTTTATATTACAAGACAATTCATTGTATTGTATATAAGATGACAGATGCCCTATACGCTTCAGTGCGTCATTTGTATATGGCAATGTTGATATATGCGCCTATACTCCCCGTTTGCTGTGTTTTGTTTTGTTTTGTTGTGTGTACTTTGTATGGATGTGCAAAACTTTCAATAAAAAACATATTAAGTAAAAAAAGTTGAATTTTATTAGCCAAGGAAACCTATTTTTTGCCCCTCTCTGATTTAGCTTTGCTCTGTTTCATGGAGTCTGGCTGCCCCTCAATTTCATGACTAAGCTCCATGATGCATCAGTCAACCGTCCACTAAGACTGCTCCAGTGACCAACAAAAGCACTCTCATTGGATCAATGAATGGCAGTTGGCAGAGCTTAACCATGACATCAGTAAAAGTCAGGGCCTGGTAACAAATTAACCAAATCAGAGAGGCACACAGGAGAAGCGTTCTTGTATAATACAGATGATAAAAGTACAGTTTAAATAAAACGCAGGTGCTTATACACTGAACTCCGCCACTTAAAAATGTAATATGCTTACTGTGTTCAATTATTGGTGAGAATGATTAAGAATCTGCCAATCACTTGGCCAGCCACTAGAGGGAGCACCAATTCCAGTTTTGCATTATTAAAACTCAACATCTGCAACCAACAGTTGTTCCTGGCTTTAGTTTTGGTTGGAAATATGTCATTTGACATCAATGAGCAACAAAAAACTCTAAAAGGCTTCACATAGGAATGGTGCAGGATGAATACTCTATAGAAATGTGACATTTACCTCATTTTTTCTTTGGCTTCTTCAAAACTCTGAGAGTAGAAATAGACGTCCTGGAAGGTGGTGATAATACATTCCTGGTTGCAGGTCACCATGGGGTCAAAAGGCTTCACGTTGGCATTACCGGAGAGCGAGTGCTGGAACAGAGCAACGGGAACTTGTAACCAAACCAAAGACGCTGGCGGCTACTACAGGCGGTAACATAATATCCAATTGGCTCTAATGTTGTAGGTCTGATTCATGAAAATTGGGAGGAAAGGAGAACAATGTGTTGCCAATGGCAATCTACAATTTTAGAATGATTAAAGGAACCAATAGGAACCATGACGTTTGGTTTCTATTGGTGGCTTCTTTACATTTCCTTTTCCTATTGTTTGCCGATAAAAATCCCATGATGTTGGGTGGCTTCCAAAACTGGACCTTCAAGCTTGATTCCAGGACCTTGGGCGTATATTGTACAATCATAAAACTTTACTCTAGTACCTCTGTGGTACCTTTTACCCCCGGAACTTCCTCCCACCGATGTACCAAGCAAAATCAATAGAGACAACTGTAAAACTGTGTCATGTGAGGACAGATAGCAGTTCCTGTGTATGTAATGTAAGCAAACAGCATTTAAAGGCTTCATTGACAAATACGTTGTAACAATGGTTTTAGACTAGTTTTGTGACCAAAGAGTTATTTTGGGCACAACTTACTGTACTCAAGGTCTGCAAATGGGTAAAGGAGAACTATGGGGTAAGTGTTTTTCCCCATAGTTCTCCTAAGGGTAACGGGAGGACATAAACTAGCGTAATTCCCGTCAGCCAAAGCTCAGTATATAGCACGCTGCAGCTCGCGGTATACTGAGACTGCCGCAGCCGGGACAGATCCCGACATTACTGTCGAGATCCACCCAGCTGCGTGAGCGACAGCTGGCTCTGCCTATCTAGAGGCAGAGCCAGCTGTACCCTCCCCCTCCCCAGTCCGTTCCGCCAGTCAGCGCTGGAGGACCGGAGTGGGGAGGGGGGAATCCTTGCCGGGCGCCGTGAGTGACAGTCACAGCTCTCCGCAGGTAGATGATCGAGAAGTGAGCGAGCGACGGTATGTGTTCACTCACTTCCCAATCTATTGAGCCGATGTGTGACTGTTTCATTGTCACACATCGGCTCGAACTATGAGGATGAGTGATTTTCACTTAGCTCATAGCTCTCCTTTAATAGCTGTTTTTAGTACAGCTTGAAAGCCCAGATCGGGGCTATATTAAAAAAAAGTAGGGCTGCAGGTGTGAAAAAGAGCTTGGACTGCAATACTCACATACAGTGCAGAGCTGTCTCCTGCTGTACTTTTATTCTGCCACAAGATGTCCTCAGTCTTTCGAGATGAATGATCTCAGAGACTGGGACAGACTATGAATACAGGGTGTCATGGACCCGCCTCCTGAGAGGGCGTCACCTTCCACTAACTGTGTACTGGTGCAGAGAGAGGCGCTGACGTGATGACATCAGCGCTGCTCTTTTCACTATTACACAGTGAGTGCAAGGTGACACCCTTTGCAAAATCCCAACAGTAGTAGGGGAATGGTGTTTATATGGAATGTGCTGAAACTGCGCTGAAGACTGTAGGTGGTCTGCATATTGCAGGAAGAGTCCTCCCCCAGCTAAGATATTGTAAAATGATATCATTCAATCATAATCGTATTCAGTAAAATGGTCACTTTGGGCTTCATTAAAAATTTCCATCCGGCATGCAGCCGGGTAGATGCCATTCACATGGCACTAGGGCCCCCAGATGGCACTGATGACTGGTAGAGGAATTCCCTATACTCACTAACGCCATCTAGCTGTATATAAATGAAGCCCATATACATAACGCCGAAACTTACTTTGAGTTCACTGATGGAGGAGAGCAGGCCGGCTCCGTATACCTTCAGCTTCCCATCTTGTTTGCAAAGACCGAACTCCACAGTGAAAAAGTAGCACTGTATCGAGAAAAAAAAAATTATAGGTAAGTGAAATAAACTTAAACATTTCATACAGAACTGAAGTTCTACAATAAAAAAAACTGCTAGAAGCTAGATGATTTTTTTTTTTTTTTTTAGTTTTTATCTATTTTTGTTTTTCAAAAATGTTTGCCATGGCCCCTATTAGTCATTTAGTATCTCCTCCATGAGCAAAGAACACATATAGTTCAACTACTTAACCCCTGTGCACCCCCTATGGATCAGAGACATTTTTACATTGACTTTGAGCTTGTTTATTCGGCAATCACTTTGTTGTTACTTAAGATAGCAAAGTAAATACTGTTTATCAACAATTTGCAGGGCGTGTGCCTGTGAATGTTCGTTCTGTGCCGATATATGCAAAAAAACAGGCGTTTTTTCTTTTCAAGTGCAATGTAATTTTGAATGTTTTGGTTGTAATATCACATTATGGCCACAAGATGGAGCTAAAAGAGAATGAAAATAAGCATATATATTTTCCTATGCTTATCGCCATCAAGTGGCCATAATGTGATATTACAACCAAAACATTTATTATTACAATATTGCACTTGTCTAAAATGTGTCCTGTTTAAAAAGACACTAAAAGTATATTTCTGGTACACTTCTCCTGCTGCATTCTCCATTATGTAAAGCACACAGAAATCCAGCACGGACAGTGAAGTTTTCTTGTAATGACCATGGCAAGTGGATAAAGGTGGAAGATGAAGTGCAGAGATCTGGCCATAGCATGAATGATCTAGTCAGGGTCCAGTCATAGCTGTAGTACAAGCTTTGGGTGCTTTCAGGAAAGGTCGTCTACGTACCGTAGCCAGTTTCTGTACAGCTTCATCTGATGCCCCCAAAGATGCCAGTCCGATCTCCTGGGAAAACTGTGCAAAGCTGGGCTCGGCGAGGAGGGGGACGTGTCCGAGGAGTTCATGGCAGGTGTCACTGGAAGGACATATAATACATTACTACAGATAGTAGAGCCCTACTAAACTTCTCTTTGAATTCAGCTAAACACACTCCAGGTGCATAAAAAAAGGTACGCAAAGAGTAGAAAAGCCTGACCCCTGCCAGCATGCTGCAGAAGGGAACCCTTGCTATCTATGTAGAAGCAGTGGTCTCTCTGCAGGTGTCTGGCACGCCCCCTGCTAAGTCACAGCCAGAGCTCTCCAATCCGAAGGGAGCACGAGCTTTACTGATTGCAGAGCTATAGTCCTGCTATCAACTGCCATCTGCAGCAGAAGGAAGATGTTTTACTTCAACTCTCATCAGCTGCCCTGTAAAGCTGACTGGTCACCAGATATCTTTTATCCTGGGCTGGTAATGCTAGCAGAGTTCAGGCAGATGTAAGAGGGTGAGAGATATCAGCTGAAACACAATGGGGCCACCCAGCCTGGTGAAATACTCACGGTTCGGGGGTGTAGAGTGGGTCGAAGCTGTGCCTGACGTATTGTGTGCAGTGAAATACCCGGAACGCTAAACCAGCCAGGAAATCTCTTGGAGACAAATACCCGGCCACGGGGCGGATGGTGAAGCCCGTACGCTCTGGAAGATAAATTGGTACAAAATTGCTATTAATAAAAATAAATACTCAAATGACTGTTCCATGTGTAAAATTATATAATAAAAGACTATTTCCGTGCTTCCCTATGCAATGCAAGCAGATCATGGCTGGTGGGAGGGGCTGGCAGGGTGCTGTACATATCTTCCTGGAACCATCACATCACCCTCCCTCGGTACTCCTCTCAAAAGCCCTCAGTCATGATGCAAGCAGTGGGCGGCCTCGTGGGAGGAGTTATGCAAATATCAAAATGCCTTAATGGGTGGGTGGGTGTCAGTATGGATGAGTGGGTGTTCCTAAGCAGACTACATTTGCATATAGATCACCCTATGTGATGCTGCGCCTCCACAATTGAAAGAACTGAAATCCAATGAATGAAATGGGCCATTAGAGCACAGTGCACCCAATGGAAGAGACCCAAAAACATCCACACACCCCCCTTCAAAAAAACAGTCTTGTCATGGAGGCCATTGAGTCCCTCCTCACCCACCATGCCCCCAGGGAGGGGCTTATTTGCAGTGGGTGGGGTTATTTGCATATAACTCCAAAGTTTGAATTCTGAATGGATTTTAAACTTTTTTTTTAGGATGTGACCCCCAATATCTCCCCCCCCCCATGTTCCGTACCCCGTTCCTACCTTTAAGAAAACGGGAGACATCCTCCAGTTGGGGAATGTTGTCCTCGCGGCAGCCGCAATGTTTGGACAGCAGGGGCAGGTTCTTCAGGTACTCCCGGCAGGCGTGTGTTGGGTACAGCTTATTGAGCTCCCGGAAGACGGTGCCCCAAGTCTTTACCTCCTCTTCTGTAAACTCAATGCGAGGAATGGGGTTCCCACTATCAAAACCAAGATGGTTTTAACATAGAGACTGAAATCTTCGATTGTATCTATACTTTGTATTTATTCATAATTTGGGTGAACCATAATTGCCCATTACATACCCAGACTCTATTCCCTTTTCCATGCTACACAATGGTTGTTCTTTACTGCTCCTCCTCACCATGGAAGTCTATGAGCCGGCCAACTCACTTAAAACAATGCACCCCTCGTGTGGCCGATATCTAATTTCAAGCGCTCTTAGCACATGGAAGAAGTAGACATGGGCCAGTTCCAGAATGGGCAATATTAGGGTGGTTTGAGCATAAGGGTAGGGAAGCAGGAGAAGTGGTTAGATCAGGGGGGAGGTTTAGGTTAATGAGAATTTGGTGTATGGGGGGGTGGGGTTCCAG